TTTTGCCCGAGCCCCCAGTTCGAACTGGCCCGGCCCGAGTTGGGTTAAAATGATATGCTTAATGGTCGGGTCGGGTCGGGCTTTTAATGCGGTTTTAAAAGTGACAGCATTTTTTTTTTCTTGGGTACGCCCCTGCCAAGAAGGATCTGGTGTAAGGCTGTTGCCCTGGATTACCTTCGGATTTCTTCACCTGGAGTTTGGATCGCGGTGGATTACCGTATTTTTCGGACTATAAGGCGCACCGGATTATAAAGAGTCAAGGATTCAAGGTTCTTTATTGGGGCATGGCAGGCACCTATTATTCTACACCTCGGAAGAGAGTCTACATTTCTATCTCCGTTAATGCGGCCCAAACCGCAGCGTCTACTCCCACAAAAGTTATATCAAAACGAACAGCTCGGCCCCGTGATGTGTGCTATTACTTTTATTGGCATTTCGAGTTACCATGGCGAAGCAATTTGCAAAGAAAGATGCAATATTTCACCAACTCCAGGAACTAGTTGGTGACTGCCCACTTATTATTCTACACCTGAAAAGAGTGTCTTTTTCAACTTTAATGTGGCCCAAACCGCAACGTGGACCCCCACAAAAGCTATATCCAAATGACCGTCCCGGCTCCGAGATGTGTGCTATTAATTTTATTGGCAATTGGCTTAACCTTGTGTAGTGGACTAGGCCTACGTCGAAACCCAGTCTAAGGTCAAAACTCTTGACCTTTAGAACCTTGTGGGACAGAAGCTGTCATTTCATGTATTTGAATCCATAAATACAGGTTCACCCATCCTGAGACTTTCTTTCTTGAAGATTCAAGTGAAAAGAACACTCTCTTTTTATTATCATTACTATCTTACAAATGTTGATAATCAGTGTCTTAGTTCAAACCATTTTAGATGTTGCAGTGAACTAATCAATTTTATTAACTGAGTAATGATTTTTATTCTCATGTTAAAAGCTGTTGCAGAGTAATTATGCATTTTTCTGATTTCTGCTTTTGAATGAGCAAGTGTGTGCGTTTACAAGGTTACAGTCAAACGAAAAACAAGTTGTTATGTTAAAACTGTCATGTTTTAGAATCCTCTCAGACGCAAATAGAGATGTTTTGCACCTGTGTCTTAGGCACGCCAAAACAGAACCCTCTCGGTCTGTGAGAACATTTCTGAGCTGTCTCATAACAATTCTCGCTGTCTCTAACCCCTTACGTCACAAAAACACACCCCTTCTGGTCGTTTCTGACCAATGAAAAATCCCAAAAAGTGAACCGGGAAAGAGCCTTTAAAATGTCAGTACTTCCTGGTCTACACAGTCTCACGGAGTTACAGACTCAGAGAGTTGTCGGAGTTCTAAGAGTCTGAGAGCGTAGAGTTCGGTGAGAGTCTACTCAAGTTCTGCTGAGTTCTGATGGAGTGCTGTTGGAGTTCCTGACATGACAACAAAGCTCTTCCGAGTTCCATGGGATTATAACATTTTCCACTGAGGTGAATGTGTGTCGAACAGAGCCTCGCCACTACTTCTGACGGGCAACAGCCATTCTAAGGAGACGCTGGACCGGTAGCGTTAACGGAACACCATATCTGCTGATTATCATCAGAGAGGTAATGGGTCAAGTTTCCTACCAAGCGTACCGAGGCGAGCTGGGCTTCTGATGGAGAGTGTCGGTTCTGGTGACCATTCAATTTCCCTCAAACCCCATCCTTTACTCCCCCTAAACTTCTTTCCATCTTTAAACTTTCCTATGAAGTAGAAATTCTCCCAGATATTTAGAAATGTCTGTGTAAAGTGCTTATTCACATCCGTGTGGGTAAAAGATCATAGTTGTACAGTTTTATAAATGTCAGCAACGGAAAAATCATGGCCGTATGATTTTTCCTGATTGATTGCTTTATTGTTATTTTCATAATTTGCCAAATTAATGTACATGTTTGATGTTAAATTTGATTCTGTAAATAAATGACCGCATTCATTTTGATGGGTCAAATTTAAATGACGTCTCACTTTGCATTTCCTTAAATTCAATGCACGTTTTATTCAGTCCAGAAAAATGAGGAACTCGCGTTAAATGATGAATATATCCCAGCATCTGTTCTTCTACACTTGGCAACATATTTTGTGAACGAATATGACAAATTTCCCATAGGAAATGAATAGGAGAAAACTTTTCTAAGAAACTGAGTAACGTCGGGAGCCATTTTGGTTCAAGATGCATGGAAGGCACCTATTATCACCTATTATTATTATTATTAATTGATAATATTAATAATAAATATTAATTATAAAATATTAATGTTACTAATGATCTATTTTAATATCAATAATTATTCATATTAATAAGTAATATTTAATATTAACACTAATTATTGGTGTGAATATTATTAGTATTGATTAGTAATTATTAACATTTTAATAATTAAATAATATATTAATAATTAATAAATATATTAATAATTAGTATTTGTGATTAATATTAATAATCATTCATATTAATATTTATTATTAATGATAATTTAATATTAAATAGGCAGTCCCCAACAAAGTTTCTCCAGGAACTTTCTAGTTTGTCACAGACATCACATGTGGCACATGTGGTGGAACGAAATTGTGTACACAGGGTCCCATTTACATCCAACAAGGTATTGGATAAGGCGCATTAAGCGAAACTAAAACATTTTTGACAGTTTTCTGAGCGCCGCGCACCACATAAAATCTGTTCGAGGTCCGTAAGCACAACCAGAATTGATACATAAGATCCACCGGATTATAAAGCTCACTGTTGAAGGTTGAGAAAATTAAAGGATTTTAAGTGCACTCTATAGTAGGGATGCACCGATCCACTTTTTTTTTTTTTTTTTTTTTCACTTCCGATCCGATACCGATACCAGCAGTTTTGTGTCACCCTATACCGATTCGATACCGATCTGATACAGAAAAAACAGTGCTGATATAACAAAAATGGCTAAATCATGTCATCTGGACCTGTTTCTGAAACGGGTCCAGATGACATGATTTAGCCATTTATTTATTTTTTTTCTCTCTATAACAATACCGATACCGATACTGGCATCTGAACGGTGCATCTCCACTTCATTGTTCGAAAAATACGGTATTATTTTTTCTTACCCAGGACTGCAGAAGAGGCATGCTAGAGATCTGGTGAGGTCGTTGCTTTTTATTTCAGCACGCCGATGCCTAGATTGAGTGGGTGTTTTCCTCATCCTCCTTCAAAAAGGAACTTTCCTTCAAAGAGGATGGACTGAAAGTTTGATCAACTTGTTTTTTTAATTTATGGGGTTTATGGTATTTCATGTGTTGATATGGAAATGTTGTGATGAAGCATTTGGGGGGGAGGGGGTGTTGTAGTAGGGTGCACCGATACATCGACTCCGATTTCCTTAATTTTGGGAGATCGGTGATAAACTGATACGAAACCGATTTTACTGATTTTTTTTTTGTAGTTTTCACAACAATTGCCTAAACTTCATTTATATTTCAGAGCACTACCTCATGGCCAGTTAAAACAAGTTTGTATTGTTTCTAGAATATTGTTCAAGGGTATGTTTTTCAATAAAATAATATTGGAAAATTGAAGGTTAATTGTGACCTTATAACACCTGACTGTGTCGCTTATAAAACAAAATCAGAACCGGCAGGTCAGACTTTTTAGAGATCGTCCAGAAAAACTGCGATCGGTTCATCCGTAGTTTGTGGGACACACCTGATGGTTTTATTAAATTGTATAAACTGCCTTAAATATTATCCTTCATTCAACCTTTATTTATACAGGTTAATCCCATTGAGCCTCGGGGACTCATTTACAAGAGAGACCTGATTTTCATAAAGAGTGATGACAACATTGGAACAACAATAGACAATCATAAAGGATGCACGCAAACAGATTTTTTTTAACAAGTGAAATTAAAATGGTATTTAAAAGAAAATTAACACAAAGCTAGGTTGTAAGGCGATGTAGATGTAGAAATCAACAATGGCCAATCTATTATTAGTTTATTTATGAGAGCTTTTTGTCGTGCAGGTAAATTATTTTCTGTTTAGAAGCAGTATTTCGGATGAAAGACGAAACGTTTCTACAATTTTTTTGTTTGTTTTGCTTTGTTTTTTGAATGTCCAGAGGACCAGATTTAACTTTTTTAAAAGATATCTTCTGTTTACTGTATTTGGTTATTCTTAAACCTCAACCAATATAAGTTTTTTGCGCTGTCAGCTCCAGGCACTGCCCACGACTTAATTAGCATTTTATGTAATTAATCCCCTTTTACTGTAGTTTTGGGGGCAGGTTGTTACAGATGGACAACCGGATCATCAGCCGCGTCCGCGACTGTTAATATCTATAATAACGATAATATAATAATAATCCACTGACTCTTGTTAATAAACAAGAACTCTTATATCTTCTTTTCTTTGAAATACATTTTTTTAAACTATATCATGCCAAACCGATTTACTTACAAAAGCAATTAAGCGTAGTTAATTTTTTTTTTTCGGGTTCAGGTCTGTAATTACAGTTAATTGATCAGTTTCTGGTCAAGCTCTGAAAAAATGATATGGGTTTGGGCCCGGCCGGAATTTTTTAGACCCAAATGCAACTCTACTTTTCAGCTATTTCTTGCAAATTTCAGCTTTTTAATTTTTTTTTTTTTTAGCTAATTTACAAAATTGTATGCTCTTTTCTGCATATTCAAACCAAATTCAAGAATTATGTGTTCTTTCTACTTTTTTCTGCTAACTTAGACTTGTTCTTCCATTTCAGCTACATTTCAGCATGTTTTAAGCTAATTTCAGCATTTTTGCAAGAAATGCAACTCCTCTAGTTTTTAAAGTAAATTAAAAACAGATAAGAGTTTTTGGTTTGGACAAGTTGTTTGAGCTGTAAAATAAATCTTTGCCGTTGGACGTTCAGACTTGAGTGTAAGACGTTTTGTAAAAATGATTAAATCAGATATTTTAAACAGAGTGTCTCCTGTTGTTTCAGAAAGCTGTTTGAAGCCATGAAGCAGTTGGTGTTTGTCCTCCTGCTGGTGACGGAGGCGTCCCCCAGGTCTAACTGCACCCTGTGGAAGCTAGGCTGTGACTGTCCAAGAGACTACAAGTTCACCATCTGCTCCCGGCTGGACCTCACCCAGCTTCCCGGCAGAGTCCCCACCTCCACCGAGCTCCTGGACTTCTCCGGCAACCTCATCTCCGTCGTCCCCAAGAACATATTCAGCGCGAACCGCAAGCTGAGAGTGCTGCTGCTGCAGAACAACAACATCAGCGTGATGGAGGACGGCTGCTTCGCTCAGCTGGAGTTCCTGCAGAAGCTAGACCTGAGCTGGAACAGGATCTCCTCCCTGACGGAGGGGTTCTCCGTCGGCCTGGCCTTTCTGCGGGAGCTGCAGCTGTCCCACAACCAGTTGAGCAGCCTGGACAGCCGCAGCTTCTTCCACCTGGATGGCCTGCAGAGGTTAAACCTCACCAACAACCGCGTCCAGAGCATCCAGATGAGGTCGTTCTCCACCATGAGCAGCCTGCGGCAGCTCCACCTGCGCAACAACCAGCTGGCTTCTCTGAGGGGCGGCACCTTCTCCATGCTGCGCTCCCTTGAGATCCTCAGCCTGGCTGGGAATCAGATCAGCAAGATAGAGATGGTGGTGTTCAGTCCTCTCACCAGCATGACGTTACTGAACTTAGCCGACAACCGTCTGTCCACGGTCAGCTTCAAGACCTTCCTGAGCATCCACACCTACAGCACCCACATTCTGCTGCAGGGGAACCCCTGGAACTGCGACTGCGAGCTGCACAGAGTCTTCCGAAAGCTGCGGAGCATCCAGAGGCTCTTCCTTGACGACTACTCCAACCTGACGTGCATGGAGCCGCCCGTCCTCCGTGAGCACCTGCTGACGGACGTGGACAGCGAGCTGTGCATCGCCGAAACGGTCACCGTGCTCATCATCACCATCACCGTGGTGATCACTGTGCTGGCCACCATGTTGATGGGAGAGAGGAAGAAGAAGAAGAGGAGGAAGGGGTTGCACTGGACGCAGCAGGGGGAATTTTCAGACGTGTCAGACTTCTGAAACGTCGTTTTCTTCTCGCTGTTCAGACGTTTGCACCAACATGGCCGCTTCATTTAGCCGGAGCTTCACTTTTTTTTTTATAAAACAGAAGCTTTACAAGGATTCACATCTGATCCTGAGAACCTATTCTAACTCGTACATAAACAAGCTTTACTTAAAAAGATGCCACGAAACAGATTATGCTGACTTCAAATGCAGTGTTGCCAGATAGAGTCGAGGTTTTCCAGCCCAAAAATCTGTTAAAAACCACCGCATCACACAAAAACCCACCCAATCAATATATTGTTATATTTACTGTTTGAACATGAACCACGTCAGTACAAGCCAAGGCAATTGTGTGTGTGTGTATATATATATACATTTTGATTTCGTAATCACATCGATGAACATATAAACACCTATATATGTATATATATATACATATATATAT